GTTTTTCAACTTCACTTCCAAAGTTTCCATGTATTGCAAATTGCAAATCCCTCAATTTCAATTTCGAAGAAAATTTCTCAATGTCTTCTTCAGATTCTTCAAATCTCAAAACACAAAAGGACCATGAACTTCGTAATATAAACTTCTTTACCAGAAATCCCCGTCAGGTCGTACATCCAATATCGGACTCGACTCATTTTTTATGTTTTATAGTTCTCATATTTACACCAAATTTTAATATTCAGTTCTTTTTAGGTGCTGGTTTGAATGAGAAATAAATTTATGGGCAAAAAATCCCATTCTATTCTTAAATGTAGTTTACTTTTTTAGTTTTTTGCGACGCCTCTTTTAAGATTCAATTGAATCATTAAAATGATCCTTACACCATCTGCTTTGGAGACCCCTCCCTTATAAAAGAAAAAAAAAAGATTTTACAGACCTTTTCATGGACGAGAATAAACCCTTATTCATGTTACCAGAATGATCAAGTGAAAGATTTGGACTTGCGATTTAAATGATGATTAACTGAAAAATAACGAAATAAAAAGTGATTAAAATAAGGTGAATGTGAATATGTGACTTAATTAAAATCAATGGAGAAATTTAAAAGGAAAAAAATAATTTCTTACCTTCTGCATTTTCATATTCAATAGAACATTGAGTTCCCGAGTTAGATTCTGAAAAATATAAAAAAATATTAAAGTTGGAGAACGATTCTACAAAATAATGAAATTCAATAATGAGACTTGTGACATTTGAAAAGAATTATCTGTGAATAGGAAGTATGATAAGAATACTAAAAAGAAAAACAGTTATGTATGACTAATCGGAATCGGTAAAGCTTATTCAGTCTGATTGTTTGATGTGGACTTTAGATTTTAATAGGAGTAAATTTACAGAAGTTGTAGAGTATTCAAAAGAGATTGTTGAATTAATTCTAAGATTTGACTAAATTTATAAGTCTTGAAAAAGTTTCAAGAAATGTCTGATGAATAGCTTCAACTGCTTAGCCTGTAAATGATTACAGGAAATGCAACAATCTGTTATTAATAGGAAATTTAAGGAAGTTAAATAAATTAATAAACGTTTTCAAGATGCTGTGGATACAAGTTGCTGAAATCAGAAGTCATACATTGAAAAGTTGAAGCTAATAATTTCATGTAGTTATTGATTGTTGAGTATTGCAATGTCGCCCAAATGTTTATAGAATTTGAAGTCTAATGTCAATCCGATTGAAAAATAGATTATTTAGCTTTAGGAAGATCTAGAATTGTGAATTACTCAGATTTAGAGAAGCGACAAACTCGATGAAAATAGAATTGGTTAAAAATGAAGAAAAGAATCAAATTGAACGCACGTTTGCTGTGGATTATTGTGCAACAAGAAACTCAATCAAAAAGGAAGTGTGACGTGATATACAAGGTTGAGCGAATTAATGATTTTTTTTTTAAAAATCGACTCCCATCTATTAAATTAGCTAAACTCAATCACTTTGATTTTCACTTACCTACTTAATGAAGAAACTTTTCATTTTTTTTTATCATTTGCAGCTTCTCCAGTTTGTTGGTCATCCTGATTAACAGAAACATTATTAACTGTGATATTATTGACGGCGATTTTAATTACTGTAACATGAATACGAGTACGTGAATGGATATCTGAATGTCTGAAAATGGAACAAATATATTGTTAGTGTGTCACATATGATTATATCGCGTTCAGATAGTGGGTTTACAATTTAGTCAATGCCGAAAATATCACTCAAGCCAAAAATTTAATTACATGAACATAATAACAAATTAAACATAAAAGTCACAAGACACAAGAATTAATACTGAATCTGTCGATAAGGAGTTTCTAATACGCACTTGGAATTTTTTTGGACTGTTATAATTTATGTTATAATTGTCATATATGGACTTCCTCACGACTGTCGCGACGAATGAAATTAGCATTTTCAGGACTAAGGTCAAATCATTGTTACTTTACGGCTGCAAGTTTTGGAAAGGAACCAAGTTACTAATAAATAGGCTTCAAGTTTTCGTTAACAGATGACTACGAAAGATCTGCAGCACATCCTTACTGTTATAGATCGAGTCAGAAACCTTCTTAACCGTATTATTAACACCCTACGATTCAAAGAAAATCAAAAAATCAAAGAATGAACAAGATTCTATGCAGTCAATACTATCCAGGAAAGTCAGGAAAAGCCACTTATTATTCAAGCCCAGATAAAATATTAATTACCTCAATATAAGCACCAAGGTTTACTGGCAGGTATGGTTGTTGAATTTTTCGATGACATTTTCGGTTACAATATTTCTTGACAATTTTGGACTTTCAAAAGTCTTGAGTATATTCCTTGGCAATAGTCTTGAAGATGTTCCTTGACAATAGTCTTGAAAAAATTCTTCAACAATTTTCGTTGCAAATATTTTTTTTGAAGAAAGAAGAAAAAATTCAATGGTTGCTGGAGTTTGTTTTTTACATGTTTAATTTTGGATAATAAAGCTCATTTTTTGCACAAAAGCTCTTAACGGTTTTTCATAATTTGACTAGAGCTGTAAAGCATAAAAGGGGGAAAAGCTTTTTATAGCAAAAAAATAACCGTCGAATGCGTTTCAAACAGAAAGCAAGATATTTTAGAGGAACTCAGTGCTGAAAATGTTAAATTAAGTGGAGATACACAAGCGCATGCAAGTTCTGAAACAAAGCTTTTGTTGCGTGTGACTGAATAATAAGAAAAATGGATTATCTGAAAAAATATTAAATCTCAATGTGTTGTAACTATAGATGCACAAGATTCCCGATATGATTAACATATTTTATGTACAGAATATCCACAGTAAGGTGCCATTGGTTCATTCTAAGCGTTGAGATTGATATAAATAATGCAAAATGAATTATTGTATTTACAGCTATGTAAAACGATATCACAAATGCATTTAAAACTGCCTTATCAACGCCTAAGAATGTCATGTGTGGCTGACAACGAGGTTACCTAAAAAAGACATGTAGCTTTAATTTAATCAGTATTAAGATTATCGAAATGTATGCTACAAATTGTAAGTAATATTTATGCTAAAATAAATAGATATACATTTGTCACACTTGTGTGCCATGCTACATATGATACTTTATATTGTAATATATCAACCAACAAATTTTATGTCTTGTATGACAAACTCGGAATCAAATATTAAAATCAGAGAACATGTATGAAACAATTGTTCATCATAAATTTTTATTCATATCATCCTTTTTTAAAAGCAGCTTAAAAAGTTTTCAATTGATCATAACTCAGATTACTCAATAAAAATCAAAAATAAATCTGCCAATTGCACAACATGTCCGACATATTCTATCTATAGTCTAATGCTCATGAGGATATGATAGTTGTTGGAGAGCTATTGAAATTTTTATTAGCTCACGTGTCGATAAAGAGTACTTTCAACCTCTTTTATGACATGATGATGCTATAACCGAGAATTTTATGTCATGCTAGAAGCTTTAAAATTTATTTTTTAAAAGCACACAACAATCTGCTCTTTTGACAGTGAGAAGTAGATTCACATTAGTTGAACAAATAAATTGATGTTTGCAAAGTTAATTTAGGTATTTATCGTGTCCAATAATCAAGAGTAATCAAGAACTTTAAACGTTTGATCAGACAAAAATAAATCAATACTTCCCCCATATTCACTTCTAGTGATGAGAGGTTTTAGATTTTTATTGAAAATTGGGAAAATCAATAAAATTTATGCCACACACAGTAACAACATCAGTCATCATTAGTGAAATCACTGACCGCATTAATATTAATATGAAACATAATATTCAAAAATGTATCAAATGTATTAATGTGACAATATTGGGTTTGATATACACCTTTCATTGTTGAAGTTTACTTTTTTGATAATTATTCGTCTTGAGTAAATGAAGCTCTTGTAAGGATAAAAATCTTCATGACAACAATTAGATTGTATCTCATTTCAAATTTGTAAACCGAGATAATGAATGTTTGAAAATATCGTGATTTATTAATGCGGGTAGTAGGATCATCTGTTGTTCAGCTCATCAAATTTCGTATTATGACTAATTATCACAGGCAGAAGATTTATTATCCTAATAAGAGATTATTTTATAGAATTTGTGTGTTTTTGATGATTCTAAAAATCTATTTGAAGAAACTTAATGCTCTTCATTTAATCTAAAGAACCCACTTAAGAATGTGTTCGTAAATGTGAAATCCGAATAACCTTTAGAGTATAAACTATTTGAACGCATAGCTTTAAGCAATTTGATGCATTAAAGTGTCTGCTAATGTTGAATGAAAAAAAGAAGATAAAAACATTTAATTGAAATTAATATGTGACACATACAACTTGCATTAATAAAATATGGATGAAGTTTCATACAATTTACTTCTAAAAATGAAGCCTCACAGACGTTTTGGATGTAGACTATTTTCATTTCGTTTGAATTCGTGGTTTAATATTTAATCAACTACAAAATAAACATTATGTCAGATAGAAGCTTTTGGGGTTTTTCAGGAACAGAACTGTGATGCGAATATCATGTGGAATTAAACAAAACAACATCCAGCAGTGCTTGCGAAATTGACATCTCAATTTCTAAACATGTCGTCATGAATTTTTAATGCTGTGCAATTAATTTTTTTTGTTCGTAGAATTTTCAGTTTTTGTCACTGTTGAAAATGTTCTCCAACTCAACATTAAATCTCGTTGTAGATGTAAATCCTCAAATGATCATTCATACTTCATTCAACAATACGTATGTGAGAAATATATGTGTATGTAAAGACTCAAGAATGTGTCTATAAATGTATAATAATTTACAATTGTAATTTTTTTCTTGTCAATAAATTACCGTCGTAATGCAAACTCATGACAGAATTGTTTTTTGTATGAATCTAAAATTACAGTCATTATCATTTGGGTCCAAAGCGCAAATGATAGACGGTTTCCATTTTTACACCATTTTTAATAGAATCGTTCATCATGTCACGTCTAATTTTTGGTATTTCCATTATTTTTGCGATTTTTATTATAGCTGTCAAGGTAGGACGAAAATTTAAGAAACAACTTTAGATGATAAGAACTTTATTTCATTATTTCAGTCACAAAATTGCGGACCAACGCCTCAAGTTGTAAGTATCTTGATTTATTACTTTTAATTGCTCAGTCGCAGAAATATGTTAATTAACAAAGTTATTAGCATAAAGCCGGATCCATTAAAATAAGACAATGTGTAGATGACTGACTGTATAGTTAAAATAAAATCACAAAAGTAAATTTATTTATTTTCTTCTTGTCTTTTTCTTCAAAAGCTTCCAGAAACGTGCTGTTCTATTCCGCAATTCTTCGATGACACAGACTTAATAAAGTGTAAAACTGCTCGTACATCAAGAGCTAAGAGATTTGCGACATCACGAATGGAATTAGGGACTTGTTATCTAGATTGTGTTTTCGAAACGACCAACATTACTTTTTCAGGTGGACGAGTCTTGAACACTCATGTTTTATTGAAAATATTGTTGAAGGAAACACCAAATGAGCCCCAAGCGACACAAGTCATCACAAATGCTGTCAGTCAGTGTATTAATGATTTAAATACTGGTGTTTTGAAAATCAGAAATCCAACTGTCAGCAATTGTTCGACGATACCATCAGCAATAATGATTTGTATTCACAAAAACTTCTTCATGAATTGTCCAACAAATCGATTCTTTAATTCACTTCCATGTATGCAGCTAAAAGATTATCTAAAGCGATGTCCGATTGGCATTTAGTTAAATTTTATTTGTGTACAAATAGTCTTTTTTTTTTATTTATGGATGGACAATACAGCAAAATTAATGATACAAATAATGAAATACCTCATTGACTTAAAATAAAGATATAATCAAATAGAACATACAAAACATAACATAATATTGACTCGTTTATTCCTCTCGTCGCGTCATTTTAAATTTCAAGTCACCATCAGGCGCATACATGAAAGTGATGGCATATTTGAGTGGTGCATAGTTATATTCCAGTTTATAATTTCTGATGAGTTTGGCAAGTAAAATTTGCATTTCTAAATCAGCAAAGCGTCTTCCTAAACACATCTGTAAAAAAAATATCAATTTAAATTTACAGGCATAAAAATAAATATGCTCCCAATATACCCTCGCTCCATGTCCTATTTATGGCATAAAATGAAGAAAAAAAAACAAATTATAATAAATTGTATTATGCTTGAAATATGATATCAGCTAACCGTATGGAAGTGATGCAAATTTGTGGAGGTTTGTGTCATTATCTGGGCTCTTAATCCATCGCTCTGGGCGAAATTCTCTGGCATCAGAAACAAATTCATCATCTACACCGACGACAAGATTAGGAAAAACGACTTGTACACCTTTCGGAATCATGTAGCCACAAATTGGAGTATCTTTTTGCAACGTCCTCCCATTACCAATTACTGTACTGTAAACTCGAAGAACTTCTTTAATAAATGCTTTTGTGTATTTGTTCTTTTCTAATGTTTGTATTGTAAGCGGAGTATTTGGATCTGGAATATTTCTCTTCAATTCCTCGTACATTTTCTGTTGCTCTTCTGGTCGCGTTGCTAATTGATAGAGAATTGAGCAAACAGCCATTGAAATTGTGTCAATGCCAACCAAAATTAAATCCAAAGCCATCGTTGTAGCCAATTTCTCATTTTTCTCTTCTCTCAGCACTAGTTCAATTAGTGACGGTTCACCGTCAAGTGCACCTTCGCTGCCAGCCTTTAATCTTTCAGTTGCTTTACTAATGTTTTTCATGCAAATTCTGTGAAGGTTATAAAAAGTAAATTGAAATTCTTTTAAAACATTTTTGACACTGTTGAATAATTAATGCTGGGGTTTATGGATCGTAATTGTGAGAGTTTGTGACTTGATGCATTAAGACGACTTTAATGAGTTGAAATTTTGTGAAGTGAATTTAATTTTAAAAAGATCTTCTACGAAATGAGGGTTGATATTTCAAGCGTCTGACTTATTCAATTACAGTAGATTATGATGTGGTTTACAAGTTTTGCATGAAGTGCTTATCAAAATTTGTAGATTAAAGTCTCTTTGAATATTTTAAAGCTGAAAAGCTTCTTCACTCTGTCAATTTAATGGAAAGTCTATCTTAATTTGTGATAATACTGTACTTACTCGACAAAATAATCCATGTTGGCAACATATCGTTTCCACATTGGTGAAATGCTTGGGAACCATCTCCAGTATGGTGCTTTAAGCTCTAATATTGCGATATTTCGCAGTACAAATTGTGCAGCATTTATAATCTGTTGTGGTTCACTTTTGGGGTCTAATTTTTCATCTAAACATCCAAAACGTGTGTCAAGAGCAACAAGTCCGATACACTCCAATGACCATTTATGAATTTCATTGGAAAAATCATTTGGGAGCTCACTTTTTTCATCTAATAAATGTTGTGTGCACCGTTGCAGGAAATCATCTGTTACTTTTTCGAGTGGTTTTACATATCGACGTACAGTTGATAACTGCAAAACTGGTTTTTGAACTCGCGATCTGAATTCTCTCCATTGTTCACCTAATGTGAATGGATGCATAAAAAAAACATTAGTTTGTAAATATTGTAAATAACCGCGCGACCGAGAATTGAAAGCATAAGGTTGAAAAAATACAAGCAACACTCACCATGAACACCAACTACACCAGGTAAATCACCAAAGAAGTCTTTCCGTAATTCACTTTTGTATTTAACCAAACTAAATATTTAATGTTAACATGATTATTGAACACATGAACAGAACAACGATATATTACCTTGGCATGCTCGGTCTAAATGGAGTTGGCCCTTCATTTCGATGACACTAAAATTTATGACAAAAAAAAAGAATAATAAGATTGGTGTCATGTTTACAATACCATTGTGTCTATCTCATACAATACCTTTTCAATCTCATCGCAATCATAGACAAAAAGTAAATCTGGTCTTCCCATTAATCCGCTGACTTTTACGATTCTTCCAAAAACTTGATTAAGTAAAAATGACATTGTGGCAATGTCAGAAATTTTAAATTGACCAATAATCGGTGCGAATCTATTAGTTATGGAATAATGGAAAAAAGGGTGAAAGGAGGAAATAGAATAAAAAAGTTGAGGTAGCTTTTTTGTGATTGATTTCTTTAAGCTCTCTGCATGGTCATAAAACTGTGCTCTAAATTTATATAAATGCGACAATCAGCAATGAACTTGTCGATTTTCCACGTACAGTAGCGAGTAAAAGTAATTGGCCACTCACATTTTCTGCTCTATCTTTTGATTGGAACCACGAAAAGTGATGAAATTTTCACCAATTATTCCATTTTTTATTACTAATACACTAATATAAGTCTTAATTCATAATTCATTGAATTTTGTACAGTTTTCCCATAAGGGAGGTTTTTGAGAGAGCAAAAGTAATTGGCCACTTTATAGATTACAATTGTTTAAAGGTAATCATAGAATTGAATATTTATTTAAACTTATTCTGTTAAAATGAACAATTTATAAATTTTAGAAATGATTTTCTTCAATATTCAACATTTAGTTCCCTTAAAAATCATGGTGAAATAGAGTATGTCCAAAATAGAGGTTTTTATGCATTTTTTTAATTCCACATTACTTAAATTAAAAATAAAGCTAAGATTTACATTTTACTCATCAATACCTTCATTTTGATATACAATATGCCATACTTTCCTTCTATTTCTCTCTTATAAATCATATTTAATCAGTACAGCATGTACAATTTGCAGGGAAACTGACATTTGTAGGTTCCTAAAACCTTATAACAGCTTCCAAAAATTATGTTATGCACATATTTCTATAGATTATAGTCTGCCAATCATTTTGATATATCATACATGCATATTCATAAGCTGGTTTAACAGTAAAAGATGGCTAAAGTTGAAGTTGTTACAAAATCATCGAATTTCTTAAAGTTTTCATACAAACTTTTAAAAATTGATCTGATCACTTTTTTGACTTTGCAAAACTGCTGAGTCTGCTTATGAATATGCATGTATGATATATCAAAATGATTGGCAGACTATAATCTATAGAAATATGTGCATAACATAATTTTTGGAAGCTGTTATAAGGTTTTAGGAACCTACAAATGTCAGTTTCCCTGCAAATTGTACATGCTGTACTGATTAAATATGATTTATAAGAGAGAAATAGAAGGAAAGTATGGCATATTGTATATCAAAATGAAGGTATTGATGAGTAGAATGTAAATCTTAGCTTTATTTTTAATTTAAGTAATGTGGAATTTAAAAAATGCATAAAAACCTCTATTTTGGACATACTCTATTTCACCATGATTTTTAAGGGAACTAAATGTTGAATATTGAAGAAAATCATTTCTAAAATTTATAAATTGTTCATTTTAACAGAATAAGTTTAAATAAATATTCAATTCTATGATTACCTTTGAACAATTGTAATCTATAAAGTGGCCAATTACTTTTGCTCTCTCAAAAACCTCCCTTATGGGAAAACTGTACAAAATTCAATGAATTATGAATTAAGACTTATATTAGTGTATTAGTAATAAAACATGGAATAATTGGTGAAAATTTCATCACTTTTCGTGGTTCCAATCAAAAGATAGAGCAGAAAATGTGAGTGGCCAATTACTTTTACTCGCTACTGTATAGTAGCCTCACGTTTATGCATACAAAATGCTTTATTTTCTATTTCTCTTATTGTATTATAAATCGGACTAGCCAAAATAAACATAAACCGCGAATAAATTTGCATAAATCGTAGAGGACGCACGACTAAAATTTGATATCTATAAAATCATTTTGAGAGTTCGTTGAACCATAAAGTTAGAGATAAACAAGTCATCACCACTTCTATTACAAATAAAGACACTATTAAATTATTATCGTTTGGCTTTCATGAGACTTGCAGAAATTTGCTAAAAACATTTTAATTGAAATTTAAAGCAATTTCCTCATTTAAAAGAAGTTCATGACAATTAAAGTAAATTGTAGTGAAAGAAGTAAAGCAAAACGCTATGCTCTTTTACATGTAATTAACATCAATTATGAAATGATTCTTCACACGTAAGTAAGAATTGCACTATGCAGCTCGCTACCATAAAATTCTTACATAATATTTAATAGCTACTGACCTCCATGTATTTCCTATGATCGGCAAAGGCTTTGGTCCAGGCACTTGTGTATACGGAAGATATTTTGTTGTCGTTTCATTTTTAATTCTCGCAATTTCTACTTCATTTGTTTCGGTTTGTGACGCATATGGACAAACTGTTGCAGCTACTGTCGAGCGTTCTCTTATGACTCGAAATATATTTTTATTGAATTGATTATAGATCAAGAGTTTCTGCGATGTTTGCATTTTTTTATATATGCTGTTTTTCCTGTACATTTTGAACAATCAATACGAGATATGAATTAAAATTAGTTGAATAAAATTATTTAAAATTGTGTGAATTTGCAAGAAAAAAAAATTAATTTGAATGTGATTTTCACTTTTTAATGCTCAATACATTGTGTATTTATCATTCCAAATTGTTTCATGGAAATAACGAAGAAGAAAAAAAAAATCATTTCATGTGTGAATTTTCAAGTGAAGAAAAAACGCGCACCCAAAATCATTTCTCAATATTTATTTATTGTTGTAGGCATAGAATTATGAAGAGAAATTCCACAAATTACTTCGTCTTTGAAACCAGTTTCTTTTTTCTATCTATCTCCATCTCTCTTTCCTGCCGACGTCACATTATCGAATTACCAAAATTATATGTGGTCTGCATTTAGGTCAGCAGAGTACATACACAGTTAAATTTCATCTTAATCGACGCACAGTATCGAAGACCTTTTGTTACTTTTCCCTTCCACCTTCTTGTGTTTTCTTGTGATGCCGTACAAATATTTGAAAAAGAGACATGCTTTGTATTTCTTTACCAATTAAAAAATTGATTTGCATTGTTACAGAAGTGAGGTCTCCATTGTGCTACATGCCAATGTGTTTGTGTACTTGTTCAAAGATATTTAATACAAACTGAGAAAAGAACAATATTCAGCAACACAAATACGCTAATTGTATTATTATTAATATTATTTTATTATACAATAGCTTGATTTAGCTATGCGGATTTTTACGTGCCATAATCAAGGTTTTTCGTTTACATTTTTTTTATTAATCAAATTCGTTAAAAAAGGCATTTGATTCAAAGTCACATGAGATGAAAATACCACATAGATAATCAAACTCTAAAGTCATCGCACTATTGAAATTCTTTACAACTTTAAACCTCTTTCGTATTAATTCAATCATTTGAATAGGAAGTAGTCATGTGTTAGGTTATACCATAATATTTTTAAGACAAGCATCTATTCTTATTTACAATACTAACATTGTTTCAATTGAGCTGGTATTAAACATAGCTTGAATTTTATCTTCAATTCATTTATCGTGATTTAATTTAATTAATTCGTCTATGCATTACTATTTATGTCATAATGCTTCTTTAATTCCAATGACAATAGGGTCAAAATATTAGGAACGAGTTTATTACATCATGTGCTCAACATTCAAGTATCCAATAATGTGTGTCTTTAACTTAACACTTCACAATTATAAATAACTACCGAAAATATCTATTCCGGGGTTTTTCACAAACAACGGCAGTGGAATTTTTTTGGATACATATTCTCTAAAAGTTGGACGTTATACATGAATGAGCCCCAAGCTACTTATGTGTTTTAATGCATCGTAAATTAAAAAAAAATGAAATTTTTTGAAAGCTTCAATGAAATAGGTAAGAAGTTACCAAACATATTACAATCATCAACTCTCCGTGTCATCAGCTAAATGATATTTTGACTCGTAGCCGAAAAGAAGAAAAAATGAAAATAATCAACAATGCGTTAAATTTATGATTTAAACACGAAGCTTCTCACATAATCATAAAAAAATCTTTGAGCTTATTGTAATGGAAAAAAAACATCTCAAAACTATAAAAGTTTTCCGTCACTTTCGGTTTTTAGAATACTTCTCGCTTGATAAACTATATGTGCTAAAAGTTGTATTATGAATTCACTTTCAATGTCAAGTTCATGATGTGTTAATTTTACAAGAAAATATTCAAGCACAGACTGTGTGTATCACAATACAAGGCTGATTTTAATTTTTTTCCTAATCAACTATCACGATTAAAAAATTTATGCAACTCGATTTGGTGCATACAGCAGCCATCATTTCCTAATAAACAGTTTGTTGGTACCGTTTCGAACTTGAAAAAAAGAAAAAGTAATTTTGATGTAAGCGGAATGTAGCACGTAATCTCGATGCTAAGTAAAGAAATTGACAAGTTGTTTTGCTACAGTTCTGCATGCTTACTGAGCGCTCTATGATCTACTTTACAGGATTTTATCGATATTTCACGTGATAAACACATTATTGTTGTGGCCAGGGATGTGGTGTAATATGAGTGCATTTTAAGCACATTGTCATAAAACAGCCTATAAATTTTAATAACCCGGTTCGGGATTAAAATTTATTGCTGTTTGAACATAAAAAGTACTCCCTCATGGACTTAATAAGCCACGGTAATTTTGATAATTGTTCCACATTTAAAAATCTTAGATCGTACTGTTGATGTCTTTTTAGCACTTTAATGATTAACGACTTACACTACACACTTATAAGTGAAGTATGACATCATATATAGATTCACTCGTATAGTTTATTCAATTAACACACGGTCTAGTCAACCAACCGAACAAAACGAATATTAAATTTAACACAAATTTGATGAAAACTTTGAGTACAGAGGAAGTTTCAACCATTAATATCGCATTAGAGGCGCAATTTTGATGGTATTTTGACAAATTTGACACATTTTACAAAAATTGGCCTCATACTTTTTCATTTAATATAATTTTATGGTCACTGTCGAACGAGAGGAAATATTTGTGCCATTGCAATTAATCCAATGCTTTTCGAAGCGGTACAGCAGATCATTCTCACTTCACTTTACCTTGAAATGATTTTTTTTTCCTTCAATTAAATCCACTTCTTGCAAATGCAAAAGAAACTCTTTATGACTCTTAAAACTTTTGCGAAAATATTTCGTTTTCACTAATTAAGCTACTTCTATTTTCGAAAATCTCATATTGATTTTAAAAACAATGTAAATTATTTTCTTTTCGCTCGTTTTATCTCTACTTATTCCAAAAAAAAAAAAACGAAATGATGTTAAGACTCGAGAAAGAAGATGGTTAATTCAATTTTAATTTATTCACTACGCATTTAAAATAGGTACCTCAACTCTTGACGACGACTAAAAAGCAACTGAAAGAAAAACGGCGAGTATAATAAAGATTTCTTTTCTTGAGTGCTTACTTCTTCTCTTACCTTGCAATGCTATGAAAAAAGAAGAAAAAATGTAGTTGAGAGATATTCATATATAAATATATGGAAGTAGTAAATGTAACGATCATACTTATGATGTTAAAAGCTATTAAGCTATGAGCGCTGTGAGCTTTCAATTTTTAAATTTTCTAACCACAGTTATTCAACTGGAATGTTGTCTATTTGAACGAAAAGCTAGTAATTTTTGGCACTTGTTAAACAATTACTAAGTTATTGTTTTGGGTGAAATTTGAAGGTCGACTTATGCCATTGTTTCTTTGTGACTTCAACAAGCTTGTTAATGCCAAAAAATATTCAAGTCTTTATCGTTAATTAAAGTCTCAATTTTGAAGGCTAAAATGATGCAAGTACAGTAAAAACCTCAAACCAAAAAGACTTCTCTTGTTCCAAATTCCTCGTAGACTTCTTGAACCTTTTTGAAGGAGACTTTTAAACTAAATTACATTTTAATGCTGGATATCTTTTATTTTTAACGTCTATATGGCATGTTTAGACCCCCTTCTATCTTTTTTATATATAAATAGTAATTTTCATTTAAATTATGACACCCCCCCCCCCCCTCCCCACCAAAAAATTGCAAACATAATAAGTGAATGACCGTTAACATGAATATTACAAGAACATTATAGGCTACATCCAATCAAGAGTGTGGTACTTTTTTTCTTCCTTAAAATACCTTTAAAAACTCACCATTATCTATTTACTCTTGATTTTGATAGAAGTACAGACAATTTAAACATCCCTATTAAAGACATCTCAAGTGTGTCAAATAAATCAGTAAAGTTGCTCGTATTCGTAAGAGTGATTTTAAAAATGCCAACCCAAAAATCTTGAAATGCTTGAGTCAATCCCCATCTCACTCGTATTCTTTGTATTGCTTGATGCTTAAAAATAAATTCTATACTCATGAACATTCGGTATGGAATTGAAACATTTTCCACTTTATCTACCAACCGTAAAATTTCTTTTCATGAATATTTAATTTAAATTAAAATTCTTTGCCGCAAAATGATGGCACTAACATAATGCGCGGTAAATTTTAGGCAGACAATCAATCACTGTGAATCACATAATTTGAAAATAATTTTCCTTGTGAATTAATTTTCAATTTAATGACATTAATGATAATTGTAAGGTTTACCACCCAGAGTATATAAGTTCTATAGATTAGTGGAATTTCTAATTTATTTTTAGTAAGTTCTTCCAGTGAAAAGTATCATCATGAACAATTTTGTTAATTTATTTTTAACGTTGTTCTGCTGCATTAATGCTTTTTCGTTTGATGCAGGATTTTTAAGAGCACCTCCTCAAAAAACTGACAATCATTCAAGTAATGAATATCCACCACTTTGTGATGACGCACCGTCAACAAATATTGATCCTGAAAAGTGTTGTCATTTTCCAAACTTTTTCGAGGAATCTATTGTTCAAAAATGTGAAGAAGAAAATGGGCTAACAGACAAGTCAATTGTTGGGGATATGGTCAGTGACAGTGTGAGTTTGAATCGTCAAAATAAAGATAAGTTTACAACAGGTTGTATTATTGAGGGGTTTAACAAATTTTGTTGTTTTTAAAAAAAAATCCTTAGTACTTAAATTAAATTGATTTTTCAACATTTGACAGAGAATAAGTTTCATTGTCAAACCCCAACCTGACAACGTTCCTAAAAGAATAAATGTTTTTTAATATGCTTTAAACGTCCACCACCGTCCACCAATAATTTATATTTGATATATTATCTTGCAAAATTTAAAAGTGGATAGAAGAAGAAATTTAATTAAATGTGCAAAAGAGCCGTTCACTTATGACGTCCATCACCTTCTCTGTGACAAAACTGTCACATATGTCAATACCCAAGACACAAAAAAAATACAATTTGCTGATAATTGGATGTCATGAATTTCCTGACCCCCTTCCTCCCCTATCACAATGTATTGCAATTTTTTGACCCCCCCCCCCCCTTAAATATTTGACGTCATGAACGACCCCATAAGAAATCTCAAAGTTTGGAATAAAATTATGACTTTTCCTCAAATTCCTCATGTTTCCTTCTTAATTGATTAAATAATAAATTAAAAATTAATTAGTGCTTAATAGAATGCATGTTCCACAAATCTGGATTAGCTAAAAGCCCAAGGATTCAGCATGATGATGTGCTGAAAATAATGAACAACAAAACAAAAAGCGATAACGTGTGGAATCAACTAACAACAAAAGCAGTCGATGCATGCTTTAATGAATGTAAATCAACCTCCATTTTCATCTGCTGAATGCTAATTAAAAGTCAAAATTAAATTTTATTTTATTCATTTAGTGTCTCATGAAGATATCGAAGAAATTGCCGAACATATTAAAACAGAAGTTGGTAAAAATACTCAATCAGTTCATCAGAAAATTTGTCATCCAGCCTCATCAATTATGCTTGATTGCATTTATCGAGAGCTGTATAAAGTTTGCCCAAAAGAAAAATTTTCTATTGATATTTCCGAATGCTCCACACTACAAAATTATACGAGAACATGCGATGATTGGTAAAATTTTCAACACCCCATACTTGCCCCATACATGATGTTTACGTATAAAAAATATTGCAAAGCTATAGAATGATGGAAATTTGAATAAACGTCTGTTGTATATTTACCGCATGAAATAAATTGATTTATATGATGTATCTATTAAATTAAAGTGCTGTAGATATACGCTTGATATTGAAAGAATTCTGCGAATTTAAATTTCAGCATATATCACATATATTCATCATTTAATCTCGAAAAAAGCAATTGCAAACAAAATTAGCGAACTTTGATTGGTTTGATGGCAATAATAATAAGCTCTTAACTCATAAAGATCCATAGCTTCGCCTTATATGCGCTACAAGGGCTAATGATAGTTTATAGAGTGAGTGTTTCCTGGACTTCCCGCTCAATAATTCCAGCTTGTAGCTTATGAAGAAAGGTTGCTAGCTCTGTTTTCAGTACATGTGGTTCGAAAAATACTAGCAAGCAACTTCTTATGACTCCTCTCGAACCCATGAACGCTGTGCTGGTATTGCAATAATTAGATATCAATGTACTAAACTATGCAGTCACCGAGCCACTTCAGCTCGCAGGTTTAAAGACAATACAGCATAATTATTTCATACAATAAATCATGTCAGAGTTGGTAATTAGAATGTTTACCAGAAGACATTTAAACTTTGTTTAAAAAGTTTAAAAAAGATGGAAATTAATCTAGACACTCTTCAAGTATGAATACTATTTGAGCAGTGACGTCATAATTGTTGACGCTATAACGCCATCTCAAATAGATTATTTTATTTTAGGTTTTCATCCTTCAAAAATTTACGAAACCACACAAAGTTTTTGGATACACCCCGTCTCATTGTGAACAATAATTCATCAAAAATTTGGAAATAAACGTTTTCAATTTTGATCAAGAATCCTTTCAACAACTTCTTTGTTTAAAAACAAATTTTAAAAGAAGAAAAGCAGCTGAGAATCTTTGATGTATAAATAGCTCTACCTAATATCCACAAAAATGAATTTGGGTATTTTTTTCATGAAGCACAATGGGGCATAATAAATCATTGTTATGAATGTTTAAAAACAGTCAGTTTACATTATAATAATATCCATGAATTTAATTTCAATGTAAATGTAGAGCACAAGAAGTGTAGCCAGGGCAGAGGTGGTTAAGAAATAAAACAGCATAAATTTTCATTAACTTGCAGAAATTCTGAAATGAATCTCACAAAAAAAAAAAAAAAATTGGGTGAAATATGGTTACGTCCCTGTACATCACAAATTGAGTAAAAATGAATTTCCTTGAAAATCATCACGGCTTAAATTTTTAATGAATAAGCGATTATCGTTATCATCTTTATTGTTATTAAGTGATTACCATTAGAATTTCAAATACTTTTCAAATATTTATAAATTAACATAAGCTCGAGCCGTGCTTCGCTGTGAACAATTAATAAATAAATCTTACAGTATACAGTTGGTATTTACTGGAAAACTGATAAGATAGTGAGAATGAAAAACAACAGAAAAACTTTCTCTACTTCATTAATTATTTATTTATATTTCAGTGTTCTAAGTTAAGTGACTACATTATAGCTTCACAATAAATTGTCTTTCCTCTCCCTAAAATTCGTTTTTGTTTGATTTCTTTTTATTCTTTTGTGACTTCTTTTGAGAACTTTTTTCGTTCTTTTTATTTTTCTTAGAACTTCCTTTGCCTTGCTGCTTTCCTTTAACATTCTTCTCAGGTTGCTTCTGATCTCGGTATTTTCCACCATTTGCCTTTTTACTTATTTGTTTGAAGCTTTCTGGTGCTGCATTACGAAATTCTTTTTTAACTTTATCTTGTTTCGTGATTGACTGAACTTTCATCTCTGCTTTCTGTAACTTTTCGCCTTTATTCTGAACATTTTCATTCACCTTTTGGCTTTTTTCATTCGTTGATCGTGTTTTTCTAATAACTTTTGAAAGTTTTTCACTATTTTTCTTAACTCGACAACTTTTTTCATCTTTCACGTTGTAGCTTTCGGCAGATTGTGTTTCTTCATTATTACTTATCATCTGCTCCTTAGTCTCATTATCCGTTGTCTGAATTTCGACATTATCTTCTTCCTCTTCTATATCCTCTACCTGATTATCGTTATTTTGGACCATTGAATTTTCACATTGATTACCACATTTTTTATCCTCAATGTTTGTGTCGTCAATTAAATTCTCTTCATTGACATCTAAGACATCTTCATCATCAATTACATTCTCATTAGCTTTTTGATGCTTCGAAGATACGGTAGCTAGGCAGCAAATCTAAATAAAGAAATAAAGAAAATGTTTGAAAAGAGTTAAATGCTATGACATCAAGGATTCCAGCTTAATACTAAATCTTTTATCTTGTTGTGAATTTGGTTCCAACCACTCTAATCTCCCAATCATTATATTTGACAAGCATGTCCACGAACAATTATTTCATCCCCATAGTACGCAGCTGAGCATTAAGAGAAAGAAATTAAACCTAAAGCATATTTGTGCTTTTTTGACAGGACATCATTTAATCAAACTGATGCGAAATTTCAGAATAAACGAGCTGAAATCAAGTGTAGAAATATTTTGAGGTAGCATTTTGAGTTTAAATTCTCAACTTTAAATGCACAAACAAAATATTCACTTCACTAAGCTTTAATAAAAGCAAGCATTAAAACTTTACCGCCACAAGAATCCACAAACAAACTTTCATCTTTGCTTTACTTCTGCACAATTGAGAATGACAAGTGAAGAAAATTTTCACTTTGTGAGCACATTTTATAAGGTGATTATAGGGTGCATGATTACACAGAAAAAATAAGTTTGATAAGAAAAATGACGCTGTGCATTTAAGTGTCTTGTGTGTAAAATATGATGGAAGGTATTATAATATTTACTGTCTTATCTGTGCTAAATTGTTGCAAATCTCCTGCAACCTGAATCTTTTTGTTCTTTTTATTATCAAACGCATAGCTGAAATGTCTTCAAATTCACCACCGGAAAAATACAAAGTTGCAATTCATATCATGATTTATTGCTCACATAAACAAACTAAAGATGCAAAGCAAATTGTTAAGAGTTCATTCTCAAAGGTCAAGGTAGAAGTGCCTGCATTGATGCGAAAAATGATTTCTCCTTCACTTTACAGTTTCCTTTTTGAAAAAGAAGAAGAACTTATCGATTTCTAAATTTTGATGCTCTCTGCCAACTTTTAAATATACTCTCATTCATCTTGCTTTTATCTCCAACAACACTTTAAATGCTTTAAGCTATACTTAGAATTTTATCTTCCTAAAAGTCAAAAGCTTTTGAATGTTTAAGTTCAAAATTCATGGCACTACGTTCTAATTTGACTTCCAATTGACTTTAAGATTGTAGATTAGAAACAAGATAATTCCAAAAACGCTGACCTAGAGCTTATAGAGATCACAGTATTAGTTTTATTCTATCTATGTCTAATATTGATGTCATTGTAGGTCATAAACTCATGACATGTGAGTAACCAAGGGGAGTCTAAAAGTCTCGAGAATATTGTCTAATTGCAGCATATTGCTGTGCATTTTAATCGCGGAATTACGTCCTAATGGTAGGTAAAATGTATAATCACATTCGATTTTAAATAAGAATAATTTTAAATCAATGAACAGCAATCTAAATTGTCAACCTTGTTGATTCAATCTGTAATTTAAAGGACCTTTCTGATAAATAAAATTCTGAAAGATTTTAACAAAAGAAATAACAATAAAGCCATTAAATTTTCTTATCATTCATCAATCATTTCAATTTTTATTTCATCAAACTAATATTTATGCTTTATTGAAATATCATTGACGAAAAAACATAAAAGAATCAAAAAATAGAAGAGAAAGGAGTGGAAACAAAAAAGTACAGGTTACACCTAGGAAATAATAATTACATTAAATTCTCGTATTGTGTTTGAATATTGATTTTTTTTTTCTTACATAATTTTTCATAACATTTATAACATCATTTAATTAGTTTTTTCGTCTCCATCATCTTGATTTATCGAGCATCGTTCAATTAAGGATAATTAATAAAAGGGGAAAAAAATAGTTTAAAAAGCCTCAAAGAATTAAGATAATCAAGTGATGTTAAAAATAATGAAGAAAGAGTGCTTATGCGTTTTATAGTCTAAAGAATCAATCAACTATATCAAGTCTAAATAAAAAGACGAACGAATATTAAGTATCGTAAAGACTTTTTTTATTATGTTTGAGAAGACAAAAGTTACTTGGGTTTCATATTTCAAAAACCTGTATAATATAAATGATCAAGAAAATCATTACAAAAATATCACTTATCATCAATCCAATCATTCATAGATGCACAATATAATTAAAAGCTTTTAAACTTCCACATAAAAAGGAATATGGAAGTGAATAAAGGTTTTGTTTGTAAAATTCATCATTCCTTGTCCTAGTCGTAGATAAAAATAATCGAACTTATCATTCATGATGTAATATACAATATTCATAACCTAATGTTAGTAGTTTGTATGTTTTAAACCATAAATTGACTAAATAAGAACGTCCTTAAAACTAAATTAAAAACTTAATTACTATTAAAAAAATAAATCTTTCTCTTTTTAAACTTTCGTCACAATGCCATTTTCAATTGCTGCTAAATGATCAGGCTCAAGACCGGCTTCAAATCTCTTCCACATTTTTCTATAAATCTTTTCAAGTCCTTGCACATACTGTGTGCAGTCAAAAAGTGCACTATTAACTCGCGCCGTCCATACCTTTGCTCGAATTGCTTTCAAAAACTCACGATCAGTTCCGAGACGGATTGCAATCTCTTGATATTCTTGGCGATTTCTTGCAATCAATTCTGGACATCCCAAAGCTGTCAATTGTGAAGCGGCAACCCTGTGTATATGACAATAAAGCTAAATGTCGTAAAGAAGATAAAAGATAAATATCAAGTAACGTACCTTGATGCTAAAGTCTCTTGTGGTAATGTTACAACCGGAGTTCCTGTCCACAAAACGTCCATTGAAGTTGTGTGTCCATTACAAAGTGGCGTATCTAAGCAAACATCGGCTAATTGACCTCGTCGAACATGTTCTTCTTTTGCAGCAACGTTGGAAAATATAATGCGTCCTGGCTGGAGACCTATCAAATTAATATCAATTGATGTCAGAGAGCTCTTAGTGATTGCAATTTTCCCTCAGTCTACTTACCAAGATTTTGAGCTGTTTGCAGTATATTTGGCTCACCGACAGCGGGGAATCGAAGAAGCCATAAAACAGCATTCGGTACTGCTTTCAAAATATTTACCCATGCATGCAAACATGGTGGATCAATCTTGTACAATTGATTGAAATTACAATAAACGATAGCATCATCAGGTAATCCATATTGTCCACGTGTTGTCACAACGATTGTCCTTGGAACTTCTTCACCAGTTGCTGCTTTATTGTTAGCATTTGCTTGCAAACCATTCTGAACGACAACGCCATTAAGTGATGTCTGAAGTAATCCTGATTGCACCATATTATCAATTAACGTTGTTGTTGGAAGTTCTGCAACTTTCATTTGAATTTCAACTGATGCGTTTGAGCGTATGACTTCCCTAACCGTTTTAACTTCGTGACGTTGTTCCAATGGTGATAAGTCTGTGGCATTAATAACTGCTACATTATCAGCAATTCCCCCACCAGATGATTTATCACTTAAAATTAAACGTTCCTTTAAATGGGGAAACATTTGTTTATGGTCTCCGATAAAGAATGTATTTGGCATATATGCAAGTTTTTCACTGTACTGATGTGCCAATTCCAATGGTGATGTTACCGAATCTGTGACAATATAATCCATAAATGGAGCACCACTTGTGCCTGGATATCCGAGCCACATAACTGTAAATAAAATTATTTTAATTAAATTTTTTGCTCTACTTTTGAGGCCATTCACTTATGACGTCAAACATTTGTAAGTCATTTGTAATTAAGCCTCACTCATTGCATATCTGCATATGATAATCGCAAGATTATCGTTGACGAATAAAATAAATAATTGAGCAAATATGGAAGAATGAAATAATTCTTATCGTACCTTGAACTGGAGCTGGACGTAATGCAAATATTTCGTTTCTCGCTCCTTTTGTATATCCATTCATATTGACTAAAATATGAATTCCGTCAGAATAAATGCGATCTGCTGCTTTTCCATTACATGGCAATTGTGATAGATCAACAAAATGCTCCGTTTCCTTTGCAATTTTACTCCTGAATGTTGTTCCATCATCGACACTAAGTGCATAACAAAAAATTTCTACATTCTTTAAATCATGTAAACCAGGAACTGACTGCATTAAATGTGATGTTGGATGATTTCCAAAATCGCTGCTGACATATCCAATTCGGAGTCTTCCTTCAAGTGCACGAGGAAATTTGAATGGTGGCTTATGTAAAACATGAATTTTCTCCAAACATAAATTAGCGTGTCGTGCAGCAATTGCTTTACGAAATTCATGTGATAATGGATATAACATGGAATGATGTGGATGTACTGATGGCAAACGATTCTTTTCTAATTGTTCAGCGACAATATTTACGAGCTTCTTCATACGTGCATCGTAGTCGCTCCAATCACAAACAATTTGTAAACAGTGAGCAAGGTTGCAGTATGCGTCAGGAAAATCAGGTTTTAATTTTAGTGCTGTACGATATGATGAAATAGCTTCGGGAATATTTCCTGAATCTTTGTGGATACTTGCCAAATTACTGTGTGCATCTGCAAATGCTGGATTAATTTGAATTGCTCGAGTATAGCAATGCATAGCACCAGTAACATCTTGCATTTCTTTTAATGTGTTACCCATATTTGAGTATGCGTCAGCAAATGTTGGTTGGATTCTAATGGCTTCTTTATAGTGCATGAGCGCCTCATTTAGTTTACCTTGCTGCTGCAAAACTGATGCAAGGTTACTGTGTGCGGCAGCAAATTCAGGGAAAACTTCCAATGCTTTGAGATATAAACGAGTCGCTTCTTCAATGAAACCTTGTTCACGCTTAATGTTTGCCAAATTATTAAGAGAATCTGCATGATTTGGACATAAACGTAATGCGGTGTTGTAACAATCTTCAGCATCTTGAACTTGTCCTTTCTCTTTATAGGCATTTGCAAGATTACAATATGCATCGGGGAAATTAGGCTGTAAATCAATAGCTCTTCTATATGTATCGATAGCTAAGTCAATAAGACCTTGTTCGTAGTACACACATGCCAAATTTCCATGCACAACAGCATTATTAGGTGAAAGATTTAATGCTCTTAAATATGCAGCCACAGCTCTATAAAATGATAAAAGAAGAAATAAATTAATTAAATAGAATAAACTAATGTGCTCGGTGACGCATATATTCATTATATGCTTAACTTTTGTCTTCTTTAACACAATTCATTTATAATTAATTGTTAAGAATGCCAACTTGTGGCACAGTAAACAGGCAAGTAAAAAGTCACTGTATTTATAATGCTTAACACAGCTAATTGAGGTAAATTAAATTAATTCTCTCGTTTCTTGCTCTCAACATTCTTCTACAATAGGATCGTTGAAATGTGACGGACCTATGATATTTCATGACTCCCTCTTCTACTCTCGTACAAATCAAATTTTAAAAAGTCTTTTGCATTACATGATTTACGAACGGCTCCTCAACATAATTTGCTTAATTCACTTTTCATATACTTTTATTTTCCTCATATAACTATTCTCTATATCCTTTTGTATCTGAATAATAGTCATGGAAGGATGAGAACTATGAGAATTACTATGGAGAAAATTACTCACTCTATGTCAAGTTTAATGGTCGAGAAAAAAAGTTTTTTTTATAAGCTCCCCAGCATAAGTACTAAAGTTGAGATTTGATTTATTTTTATTCAGAGACGATGAGCACAATACAGTATCGGTGTGGTATACTTTATAAATAATTATAAAACATTATATGAACAGCACGCTGTGCTGTCTGTTTAATGAAAATCCGTTTTCTGTTCCATAGAACAAATTCTGAAAACTTTTAATTAGGTGAAAAACGTGAGGATTAAATAAAGGAAAACATTCAGCAGGAAATAAATGTTGAGCTTTTTGTTATTCAGATTTTTTATTTTTCATTCAATTAGCATTCGAGTCTGTACTTTATGACAAAAGACAAATGTCATAGGTGCTTTAATGAATAGAGAAAGTTTTTTATTTCTAAATTAAGCAAAACTACGCAAAAATTTGCTCAATATAATTTGCTACCGTCAAACAAGAATGAAAAAGTTTTGATAGAATAATTATGCTGAAATATTTCATTTCGTTAAATGAGTATCTTCAAAACTTTTTGCGGACGGCGCACTATAAATATGGCTTCAATCACAACTCTATAATTCAATATTATTTCCGTGTGATTTGCATAAAAAGTCACTATTCGCCAACAGAAGCTCAAAGCGAAAGAGAAGAAAATTGGTCACAAAACATTTAAATTTGAACTCTAAGATTCCTCTATATCATAAATTCGCTTGGAATAGTTTAAAAATCTTGCATGATTTATCAATAAGAAATAATGTCAAAAAGGGATAAATTTTGATGTTTTGTTAGGCGGACCATTTTTTGTTGGAAAAAAATTTGTTGGAATGGATTTTGTTGGAAAATAATTATTTTTTTGAAAGTGAAAAAATTTGGAATGGAAAAATTTGGAACTCATTTGGAAAATAAAAAATTGGAAAAATAAAAATTTGGAACTCATTTTTTTGGAACGGAAATTTTTGGAAAATACATTTTGTAAGAAATTATATAATTTGCAAGAGCAAAAAAACACTTTTAAAAGAAACATATCAAGTTTTAGCCAAAAATTTTGAGGAGAAAAAACAGTCAAATGTAAAATTGAAAATACATCAAGCAATCAGCATCTTAATTTAAGAAGAATCTTAAAGAACATGGCAGGTTCAAAAAAATGAAATGAAAAAAAGTTTGGAAGACACCACATGAAGCTAAAAGAGGGTTACCGAATAGCACAAGTCTGTTAATCAAATAGAAATCCGGTATCAAGCTAGCGTGACTAGCATGGTTCTGAACTCGAATCAAATCCAGCACCATATCAGAGTTACGCCAGTTTAGTGCCGGATTTCTATTTGGGGAACCGATTTTCACATTTGGGGTTGTTTTCGTGGACATTCAGTGGCAACATTTTTAAAACATACTCGACAATATTTATGCTTTTTATTAGATTAAGGTAGATTTCATGAGTTTTGATTTAATTTCGGAAGTTTCAATGAAAGTTCTGTAAAATATAAATGTTTGGGAAACCAAACCTTCAACAATTTTTAATTTAAAATACTCAATTTACATGAATAGTAAACTGAAGATATAATTTAAATATTCAAAAGGATTACGCACTCATCATTATTCGTATCACAAGTAATATGCAGTAAAATAAGCTACGATGCTAAACGAAAATAACATAAATTACGATGATAATTCAAAAGTAATTCAATTACATTCTCGTCTATTTTTGCTTCCTTCATTCTTATTTTTATTGAGAATTGATTATTGAAATGTTATAAAATAAGCGAAAGAGATTACCGATCAAATATATTTTTCAATTCAATTACCATTTCGAGCTTATTCAACTGAATTAAAGTATATCCAGAGGAGTTTTGAGGCTTGAATTTTTTTTCTTCAAACTTTATAAATGTCGTGCGAGAGGAGGAGTCTGGAGTTTAGTGACGATTCAAACACCAAACATAATGAGAGACGTAATTTATGAATAGACTGTTAGAATTTTGAAAAAACTCACGGTCGACTTAAAAAAGCGTGAAAATGAATAAACTCAACTCATCCATTTCTTACAAAATCCGGTTGGATATTTACAGTAAATTACGATTCCGCCTAAAATTCATCTTTTGATTTATTAGGAAATTTTGAGATTTCAAATTGATTTTTGACGTTTTTGAAAGTAATAATAAAGACTCTCGAACTCAGTAAATCCTTAATATGTTCCTGAATGTTTCACTTGATAAAGCTTCTATCTATTTCAAGAAAATTATTACGGACAGAAAGTTTTGCAATCAACACCAAGCAAAAATGTGAAATGAATCACCACAATTCGCAATTCTATTTTTCTGTATTATTTTAAGTCCATTGAGAAGAATTTCTTTCATTTCCCAAAAAAAAAATTCATTTGAGTATTTTTTTCCATTCAAAATCCCAACAAAAGCAGAAAAAAATCTTTAATGAAGATGAGAAAATACGAAATTGAGAGGAAAATGTAAACAAAATTGCTGGAAATTTATTCGTCATGAGAAATTAATTTTGATGCTTATTGTTTTTCATCAGTGCCATAAAATTTTAAGAGAAAAACTCCGATTTTTTCAAAATTGTTCTTTTACTTTTCTTGCTGTTACAAACCATACTTTCATAATTAAACTTTTGCTTTTCATTTCGACCTTTTTACAAATTTATATTTTCACGTTAATATTTCTTGAAATGGAATTTTTTGTTTCGCTTGCTTCCAAAATAAAAATTTATATCAAAATTTCTTTTGCTATTTCTCTGGGGTTCTTGACTTATTATGTAACTCAAGAAAGTGAGTTAATAAAATTTACTATTTTTTCATAAATATTATTCTCCTTAGTTTGAATGATTGCAAAGCATCACATTCTTCCTTTTGAAAACGCGTACGCAATATTTGAATGACCCCTGATTTAAAAATCGAGAGAAATCAATGAAAATTGTTTTTTGATGTGGAAACTTTTGTTCATTATTTTCATTTACTCTCTCCAAATATTTACGTGTGTTTGTTTGAAATACAAACTCACCTCCCAATAAAATTTCATTTACTCTTTGAAGATTAGAAATTTTTAAGTGTCGTTTTCCCTTCAGCAAAGTAATAATATCAAATCGATTAAAAACTTAGCCTTTGAATTTTTTTTATGTGGGTCAAGTTTATTGACTGGTTTAGAATCTATGTATCATAAGAGTACATTGTGTAGTATATAAAGTTATCAAATTACAGATCTTTCACCCCAACAAGCATTATTGATTCATGAGTCCCACCCTTTTTCAAATATTTTATCAATGTGTTGTTTTTACATTATAATGAAAATTTAACGTCCGTACTTTCATCGAGCAAAACATGTGGAGATGTAAACACAATTCGTAGGTCTGAAAAAATTTATTGGTGAGATTTGAACTGTATCACGCGAAAGAAAATTGCTCAGTATTGAACAATGATTATTTTTTGTGGGAAGTATAAACATCCACAAAATCAATGCAATATATTACTCGCAGTAACTTAATCCCATTAGCAACTGCTTTGAAAAAAAAGGTTAATATGTTGAGCAGATTAAAGCTGTTTCTGATTTCATTGTGGAAAATATTCAATTTCTAGGTTCAACGGTTTTCTCTGCATTTTCGTAGTTATTTATATATTTAATTGTCATAATTCTTTCGACATCATTAGGCAGCAACAACATTGTACGTTTACTAGGAGTTGAGAAAATATGAAATGACACAGATATACACATTTCAACATTTTCATTTCTCCAATTTTCTTTCATTTTCAACATGTAAGCATCTGGCCTCACACAAAATGCTATTCCTTATTATAAGTGTAAAATTTTCAGACAAAAATATAAGTTCTCAATAACATAAAATTAAATGTAGCTTGAAATTTCTCTTACATAAAAAATTGTCAAAACGAATTGGAAGCTAAGCGACAAACAAAATGTAGCGAGATTAATTTCTCTTTCAGAACAAAATTTTCCTCTCATCTAATGTGGGTTGAGAAATCGTGCCTTGAAATTTGGGGTTATCGACATGTGCCGTCTGGAGCTTCAAATCCCTTTAAACCTAAAACATTTGTGAAGAACTGTCTTTAAAACTTTTTGATATCCATCGATGGAGGTTGTTTCTAAACTCCATAAAGATACGAATACCCTATTTTTAAAAATTTACATAAATCAACACTTATGTAAACAATTTACTTCGACTTTTGTGTAAGATGCATGAAAAAATATGTCGTTTGTGTAACTCTATGTATATTCTCCGAATATATTGAACTCAATAAATCAATCTGAAAATTTATTGCCATAATTTTTCATATCATTTGATGCGTAAGGTGCGCGCAGTTCGTTTAGACGCACTTAATTTTTTTCAAATTTTCCTTTAATAAACACTATTAAGACAAAAACTATTTTATGTGTTTATAGCTATGACCAATTAGGTTATAAATATAATAAAAGTATCTGACTAAATGCTTTGCTTAAGTAATTAAAATAATTTTTTCAAAAATTACAACAACAAAGTGCG